TACAATAACAGATCATTCATGCCTTTGATGATTACATAACTGGGATGTTCCAAAAATAACCTACATCAGGGGTCTCAAACTCAAGGCCCTTGGGCTGGATCCAGCCCATGGGGTGCTTAAATCTGGCCCACTGGGCTGGCCTAGAAATATCAAGGGACTGACCTGTGGTGACCCTGGTGGCTAAAACGAGCCATGTGCGGGGCCCCTGCACCTTCTTTTCATCCTCCATGACCTCCTGCAGCACTCTGCTGGCTGAAAATGGGCCAGAAAATGGGCTGAAAATGGGCTCAAAACTGGGTTGAAAATGGACTGAAAAATGGCCCAAAACAGGCTGAAAGGTGAGCCAAAATGGACTGGAAATGGGCCAAAATGGGCTGAAAATGGCCAAAAAGGGCCAGTTTTTGGCCGGCAGGGTGCTGCAGGAGGCATCCATCCTGCCCCACCACCCCTCATACTGCTGGCCTGCAGAGGAGAACTACAACACAGATTTGGCCCTCAAAGAAATCCAGTTTTGACACCCCTGACCTATAGAGAGACCATAGCAGACAGCCTAACTCTTACTGTATTCAAATAAAAGTTATTAGGAAATTGATGCATGTTTATTGAGATAAGGAATCTATTTAAGCAATGTTTACACATTGAACAATTGCCTTCTGTTTTTAAAATATAAGGTGCCAGTCTACATAAAAATAGAATTCCAAAAATTATTTACATGTCATTTATTTTAAAAACCAAAATCCTGAGAGTAAGTTTTCTTACTTCTATTTCACACATACAGTAGTATGTTACAAGCTAACAGTGAGTGAGTGATAATTCACTAACCTTTTATTCAGGAGCACATATTTATTGATTTACTTTTGAATGCTTTTGATTATGTTGTATACAGTATCGTATAAAATTTTCCATGTCAATTACTGGATTGCAGACTTTCTAATTTTGGGGGAAACCTAGTTTTACAATAGACTGACCTCATGGTATATTAGGTCCTCATGTCTAACAGGACATCAGAAAAACTGTGCTACTCCAAATAATGAACCCTTTGTTGGTAAGTGGAATTCAATATAATGCAAACACAAGCAATAGAAAATAATCCAACCAGTATAAGAGCTGAATTTAACAAACTCAGAGAGAGCCTAGGAAAGATTCCATGGACAAAAAATCCTAAAGGGGAAAACAACTCAAGAAGCATGAGAAACTCTGAAAAATGCTTTCATAAAGGCCCAATCCAGCACAATACCACTGAAAAAGAAAAACAAGACATTCAAGAAGAAACTGGCATGGCTGCACAAAGATCTCTCTGACAGACTGAAAGACAAAAAGGACAAGTACAAAAAATGGAAAGAAGAATGCATAACTAAGGCTGATTATCAGCAGATATCCAGAACATGCAGAGATGAAGTCAGGAAAGCAAAGGCTCAAAATGAACGAAGACTTGCAACAAAAGTCAAAGATTAAAAAAAAGTTTCTTTCAACATATTAATAACAAAAAAAGTCAAGGAAACAGTAGATTCGCTAAAGAGAGAAGATAGCAAGGAAGTAACAGGCAGTAGGGAGAAAGTAGAGGTGTTTAACTCATTTTTTGCATCAATATTCACACAAAAAGAAATTATAGCCCAATGTACCAAAAATATTACTATAAAAGACAAACTAGAAATAAAAACTAAAGTAAGCAAGAAAATGGTAAGAGAACACATATCTGACCTGGATGGAAATAAATCACTGGGACCTCACAGATTACATCCCAGAGCTCTGAAGGAACTGGCAGATGTTATCTCAGAATCATGTACCATATCTCTCAAAAATCTTGGAGCACCAGGGAAGTAGTTGAGGATTGGAAAGGGCTGATATAGTTTCCCATCTTCAAGAAAGTCAGGGGGAAACAGACCCAGGAAACTATAGACCAATCAGTCTAACATAAATACCTGGGAAGATCCTGGAAAAGATAATCAAGAAACAGATCTACAAACAACTAGAAGCAAATAAAGTTATAACTAGTAGCCAGCACAGTTTTGTTAAAAACCGATCATGCCAAACCAATCTTATTTCATTCTTTGATAAAGTGACTAAATTAGTAGACCAGTGAAATTCTGTGGACATAGTATACCTAGATTTCAGTAAGGTATTTGATGAAGTAGACCACAACCTACTTGGTAAATTAGAAAAATGTCAAATAGACAACATAACCACCAAATGGATTTGTTGTTGGCTGACAAACAATACTGAACAAGTACTCCTTAAAGATATTACATCCACATGGAGAGAAGTAAGTAATGGGGTGCCACAAGGTTCTGTCTTAGGCCCAGTACTCTTCAATGTCTTCTTAAATGACTTAGATCAGAGTCACCAACCTTTTGGACCTCAGGGACCACCAAATTCATAATTTTAAATCCCATGGACCAGAGATCCTGGGAAAACAAAACAAAAAAGTCTACAGGCAAATTCCCCATCCCATTTTCCTACCAATCGATTATTCTTTATTTGGGATCTCAGGATACCATCTCCAGCTCCATTCGGGGGTGGGGGGGAGAAAGTGACTTTTGGCTTCATGCAAAAAAATCAGCAGTTTTTCTTTCTCTCCGTCAAACTCCGCCAGAAATGAATCTTTGTGAGACTTGTCACGCCAGTGCAGCCTTGGAGCAGGATGCCTTGCAGGGTCCCAAAGACTCATTTCTGGTGGAGTTTGGGGGAGAGAAAGAAAGACTTTTGCTGCTTTCCTTGCGTGTAGCCAAAAGCAGAAGAAGAAAGAAGTGGAAAGAAGCAGCCCATTGGCCAGGCGCGTGGGGGCAAGTTCCCCCTTATGCCCTTTTGCCCCTCCCCCCACTACCTCGTGTTGTTCACAATGCAAGCAACTCAAGCCTTGTGTTCCCACGGGCCATGTGGGCAGCGCAGTCTTGTGTTCCTGCCCAGCCAGGATTAATTGCTTTGGGGAGTGCTTTCAGGGTGACATTTCTCTGTGGACCACCAACATTTTCTCATGGACCACCAGTGGCCCTGGCCCCCTGGTTGGCGACCACTGACTTAGATGAGGGAATAGAAAGGAAACTCATCAAGTTTGCAGATGACATAAACTGGCAGGAATAGCCAACACCCCTGAAGACAAGCTCAGGATCAAAAAATAGAATAAAATAGAATGGAATTCTTTATTGGCCAAGTAAGATTGGATTCACAAGGAATTTGTCTTTGGTGCTTATGGTCTCAGTGTACATAAAAAGAAATGTATGTATGTATGTATGTATGTATGTATGTATGTATGTATGTATGTATTTATCTGTTGTGACTGGAAGGATTGATCCTGCTGGGAGTTTTGACTCTGATGCCTCTGAAGATGGAAGGTTTGAGCCTGCTGTGAATGTGGAGTCTGAATTATCAGAGGACACAGATGTGAGCCAGGAGGATGAGAGATTGTCGGAGAGACAATCCACTGCAGAACCTTCGACTTCATACATGACAGCAGCTGATCCACAAAATGAGTCAGGGGTTTCTAGTGAGGAGGAAACTGACAGATGTTGGCTTGACTCTAGAACTAGAAGAAGATTGAAACGTCAATCACAATCTGAAGGGAGGCGTCAAGCCAGACATTGATTAGAGAGACTGACACGCCCATACTGGGGATTTAAGGAGGTGTTTGCTTGGAGCAAAGTGAAATGTGAGTAGTGCTTTGTGGATTCGAAAGAATATGTTTGAAGCAGCCATTGTGATTTATGAGCAATTCTGCGTTGCCAGACAGATTCCGGGAAGACTGCCAAGGACTGAAAATAGTTCTGTTAACTCTTTAAAATCTGGTTTTGTTCTTGTTTGAATATTTTGAGCTCTGGAACTTCGTATGCTCACCTGTGGATGCAGGTGAGACATAACATTTTTGCTCCAAGCCCAAACTCCATCTTATAACCAAGATGGACCCAACACAACTAAAGCAACTGGCAGAGCAGCAGCAACAACAAATAGATCAACTTTTGCAGCTTAACCAGGTTTTACAACAACAGGTAACTCAATTGGTTAATCATGTAACACAATTACAGGCTCCAGTTGCTCCCCCAGCTCCTCCTCTGAGGAAAAGCCCGGTATCTGTGCCGGATAAATTCTCGGGACAGACAGATATGTTCTCGGCGTTTATGAGACAATGCCAATTATTCATGTCATTACGGCCTGAAGATTTTCCTAATGACCGGGCTAAAGTGGGGTTTATTATTAGCCTCTTATCTGGGCAGGCTGCCAAATGGGCTACTCCTTTGCTGACTCAAGATAGCCCTTTGTTGAATGATTTTCAGGGTTTCCAGCAGCAATTGCGTGTCATGTTTGAAAACCCTATTAAGACTCAAACCGTGGCTAGACATTTGTGGGACATTTGTCAGGGGAAACATCCTCTGCAAGAATATATTGCAGAGTTTCGTCTGCTGTGCATGGACTCTACTTGGAATGAGTCAGCCCACATGGATGCTTTTCAGGAGGGCTTGGCAGATAACATCAAAGATGAGTTAGTGCATGCAGAGCGGGCTTTAACCTTGGATGCACTAGTGGTACAGTGCTTGTGTATTGAAGCCCGTTTACAACAGCGCAGGAGCAGACGGCCAGTTGTGGAACCACCTTCTCATTCATGTTCGCAACCCGCGCCATTGGAAGTTTATAAAACTATGACCAGGACTGAGGAGCTGATGGAGTTGGGTGCACTCTGCCCTCAGTTGATGGCGCAAGAACGCTCATGAAGGTTCCAGGAAGGTTTGTGCCTTTATTGTGGGGGACCGGGACATTTTGCCAATTCTTGTAAAAAAAAGGGGAACACGAAGACCAATGCCAGAATCTACTCCTAGCCCATTGGGGAAACGGGGTAGGCCCAACCTCGGAGAAACCCTAGGTCGGGCATGTCTCACACCACCACCCCAAATTGCTGAGGTGAACTCTGGCCCTCCTCGGCATTTACTGTTGGACACCCGAATTTTCTTACAGTCCCGGAAGGAGGGGATTCCAGCAGTGGCGTTGGTAGATTCTGGGGCTACTACTAGTTTTATGGACCGGGCCTTTGCAATGCACTTTGAGGTCCCATTGGTTGCTGTGGATCCACCCATCAAGGTGGAAACCATGGATGGGCGTGAGCTTTGGTCTGGGTCCATTCGTTTCGCCACCCAGCCATTGCGTATGGTTATAGGGGATCACGAGGAAGCGATAAGTTTCTATATCACTTCGGACCTCCATCTCCCTTTGGTTCTCGGTGTATCCTGGTTACGATTGCACGAGGAATGCCATTTCCTTCCCAAGTCTCCAGTGTGTGGATCATCTGAGACATATCTGCGCTGGCCAGGACATCACCGCCCCTGATGTTTCCATACCTCCAGAGCTATCGGACTTCTCCGATGTTTTTAATGAGAAGGAGGCGGATCAGTTACCACCGCATCAAGTCTATGACTGTCCCGTGGATCTTTTACCGAATGCTCCACTCCCCAAAGGTCGATTATATTCCATGTCTGAGCCCGAATTGGCTGCGCTTCGAGAGTTTCTGGATAAGAACTTGGCTCGTGGATTCATTCGACCATCATCGTCTCCCCTTTCAGCTTCCATTCTGTTTGTAAAAAAAAAGTCGGGAGAGCTTCGCTTGTGCTGTGACTACCGCCAGTTGAACGCCATCATGGTGAGGAATAGTTACCCTTTGCTGCTCATTCCGGAGTTGATGGAGCGGTTGCGGGAGGCTACTATTTTCACCAAGCTCGATCTTCAAGGGGCCTACAATCTGGTGCGGATGTGCAAGGGGGACGAGTGGAAGATGGTGTTTGGCACCCGATACGGACATTTTGAATACACCGTAATGCCGTTTGGATTGACCAACGCTCCCGCGGTTTTCCAGCACTTAATGAACAACATTTTTTGGGACATGCTGGATCAGTTTGTGGTGGTGTACCTGGGCGACATTTTGATCTACTCTAGGTCCAGGGATAGCCACCTTAGTCAAGTCCGTCAGGTACTTCAACGTCTTCGGGAGCATAAACTCTATGCGAAACTGGAGAAGTGTCTCTTTTTCCAGACGTCTATAGAGTTTTTGGGACATATCATCTCTCCCGAGGGCATTGCCATGGACCCGAGGAAAGTGGAGGCTTTGTGTAATTGGGAACCCCCTCATCGAGTAAAGGACGTGCAAAGTCTCCTGGGGTTCGCAAATTACTATAGGACCTTCATCCGGACTTTGCCAAGTTGAGGGATCCCATCACTCAGCTCCTTCGCAAGAAGGTCCCATTTCAGTGGAGGCCCCCACAGCAACAGGCTTTTGAAACTAAAGAAAGCCTTTGTGGCTGAACCAATATTGGGGCATCCTGATCCGAATCGTCCATTTGTGGTCGAGACAGATGCCTCTAAGTTAGCTATTGGGGCGGTGTTGTTGCAAGCTTCGAAGGATGGTGCACCTCTTTTCCCATGCGCATATTATTCAAGGAAGCTGACAACTTCTGAGCGCAATTACACTATCTGGGAAAAAGAGTTGCTGGCTATCAAGGCTGCATTTGAGACCTGGTGACATCATCTAGAGGGGGCTCAGCACAAGGTGGAGGTTTGAACGGATCACCGTAACCTGGAGCATTTGTCTACTGCCAAGAAATTGAACCAACGCCAGATTCGGTGGTCGTTGTTTTTCGCAAGGTTCAATTTTTCCATCACCTATGTTCCCAGTAGACAGAATCGGAGAGCAGACGCATTGTCTAGAAAACCCGAATATATTGGTCCCAAGGATCCCCTTCCTCCGCGAACAGTGTTGCCACCGGAATCTTTGGCCGTGATTCAGGATCCGGTGGATTTGAGGGCTTGAATACGGGAAGCACAGCAATTGGATGCATGGTCGCAACAAAGAAGAGGAGAAATTGGACCTGATTCCCCATGGACTTTGGAGGAGGGCTTGCTAAGACATCGGGGTTTATTGTATGTACCCACCAGGATGCTTAGAGCCCTCATCATGATGCAATGTCATGACAACCCCGCTGCTGGTCATTTTGGTTTTTACAAAACTCTGCACTTGGTCACCCGGACTTTTTGGTGGCCTCGAGTTCGACATGACATTTTTCCTACGTTGCCTCTTGTATTACGTGTCAACAAGCGAAGGCTGCATCAGGTGCGCCTCCTGGACTTCTGCAACCACTACCGACTCCGATCCGACCCTGGGGAGCGATATCCATGGACTTTTTAACGCACTTGCCCTCGTCGTCGGGTTATATGATGGTACTCGTGGTGGTTGACATGCTCACTAAGATGGCCCATTTCATCCCGTGTAGAAGATTATCATCGGCTCATGTTACTGCCCGGCTTTTCATACAACACGTGTTCCGTTTACATGGTTTACTGGACAGAGTTGTTTCAGATCACGGTGTTCAGTTCACTGCTCAATTCTGGAAAAGCCTAATGAACGCACTACACGTACAAGTACGTTTAGCGTTGGCACACCATCCAGAAACCGATGGTGGGACTGAGAAAGTAATTGGCATCCTTGCCCAATACCTCAGATGTTTTGTAAATCAACGGCAAAACGACTGGGTGACCTATCTTCCATTGGCAGAGTTTGCCTTTAATAATTCTTGGCACACCTCCACCCACATGACGCCTTTTTACGCAAACGTGGGTTACCATCTGAGGTTTTTCCCCCTGTCAATCGCAGATTCTCCAGTTCCAGAGGCACAAGACTTTTTGTCGGAGTTATATGCCGTGTGTCAATAAATTTCCAGACAATTGGAACCAGCAAAAGCAGACTATAAGCGTTTCGCAGATCGTTCACGTCGAGCGACGCCTCCATTGGCTGTGGGTGACAAGGTGTGGTTGTCAACGAAACATCTTCAGGTTGATCGTCCAATTAGGAAGTTGGATCATCGCTTTATTGGTCCCTTCCCTATCGAGGCGGTTATTAATCCTGTGGCTTATCGGCTCACCTTACCACGCTCCATGCGCATTCACCCTGTTTTTCACCGCTCCCTGTTAGTACCTGATACCCCATCGTGTACTCTCCATTCTCCAGAAGATATGGGTTCTCCATCCAGGCCCAGCACTGAACCTATTACGGATACTACAGTGATTGGAATTTATGATTCACGATGGTTGAAGGGGCGATTCCAGTACTTCGTGGGGAGACTGGAAAATGAAACGGAGATTCATTCTTGGCAGGATATGTCCAAGGTGCATGCCCCAGACCTTATTCGAATATATCATGCACAATTTCCTTCAAAACCACATCCTGATCGTCAGACTCGGGGGAAGGGCCCTGTGGTGAGGGATAGTGTTGTGATCAGAAGGATTGATCCTGCTGGGAGTTTTGACTCTGATGCCTCTGAAGATGGAAGGTTTGAGCCTGCTGTGAATGTGGAGTCTGAATTATCAGAGGACACAGATGTGAGCCAGGAGGATGAGAGATTGTCGGAGAGACAATCCACTGCAGAACCTTCGACTTCGTACATGACAGCAGCTGATCCACAAAATGAGTCAGGGGTTTCTAGTGAGGAGGAAACTGACAGATGTTGGCTTGACGCTAGAACTAGAAGAAGATTGAAATGTCAATCACAGTCTGAAGGGAGGTGTCAAGCCAGACATTGATTAGAGAGACTGACATGCCCATACTGGGGATTTAAGGAGGTGTGCTGACTCTCAATCTTTGCTTGATGTTGTAGGAGTCATGTTCAGAGTCATATTCATATTCAGAGTCATAGTACATATTCAAGATGTTGTACGATATAGTGCAGAGTTCTTTACAACCTTGAACGATGGCTCCTATCCAACAAAATGTTTTTAATGTGGAGAAGAGTAAGGTTCTACATTTAGGCAAGAAAAATCAAAGGTATAAGTACAGATTAGGTGAGACCTGTCTTAAAAACAGTAACTGTGAGAGGGACCTTGGAGTCCTAGTGGATGATCACTTGAATATGAGCCAGCAATGTGTAGCAGCAACCAAAAAAGCTAATACAATCCTGGGTTGTATAGACAGAGGCATATCATCAAGATCATGTGAAAAATCAAGATCATTTAGAAAACCCTAGTAAGACCACACCTGGAATACTGCAATCGATTTTGGTCACCATGCTACAAAAAAGATGTTGAGACTTTGGAAAAAGTTCAGAGAAGAGCAACAAAGATGATTAAAGGCTGCAGGATTTGGGTTTGGCTAGTCTAAAGAAAATAAGAATTAGGGACAACATGATAGCAGCATTCCAGTATTTGTGGGGCTACCACAAAGAAGAGGGGGTCAAATTATTCTACAAAGCACCAGTGGTCAGGACAAGAAACAATGGCTGGAAACTAACCAAAGACAGAAGCAACCTGGAATTGAGGAAAAACTTCCTAATAGTGAGGACAATTAACCCATGGAACAGCTTCAGAAATCATGGGTGTTCCATCACTGGAGGTTTTTAAGAAGAGACTATCTGAAATCGTATAGGTTTCCTGATTGAGGAGGGTACTGGACCAGAAGACCTCAAGGATCCCTGCCGGCTCTATTTCATTCTAATATTCTAAAGTGAGGAGCAGAGATTTAAATGCACAATTCAGAAATAAGACCTTGAAAGTATTAGAAATAATTTTCTGGCAATAACTTAATTTTCCCCTCCTGCATTAGTTAGAGTACAACTTGCTGCTAATGCAGTATCAATTAAATGATAGTAATACACTGCTAACAAAACTGTACACAGAACAATGTTTAAATAGTATTCAAATGATTTTGTTTGGGTTTGCATGTGTAGAGAAATGAAGAAGAAAATAGTTGTGTAATATCTTTTATTTATGTTAGACTAAATTCCATCACCTTCCAATATGCAGGAGATTATGGAAGATGCAGCTGACACATTAGTCAGATTAAGGAAGGAAAGCTTAGAGTAGTTTTCTCCAATCTGGATATCTCTGGAAGTATAGACTTCAGTTCTTGGACTTTTCCCACCAATGTGGTCATTGTTAAGAATTCTGGGATTTGAAGTATAACAATAGAGGAGGTTTAGTATATGAAATTGGGAAGAGGAGCTGAAGGAAGCATGAACTTGTATTGTTATATCTGGGAGGACGGTTCAA